ATCCTCATGGAAGACAATGTTGATCAGAGCCCCTTCTATGATTCATCCACCTTGCAACTTACCGAAAAATCCTTCTACGATGCTCTCACTGGTACTCTACCTCTCTCTCCTAATCAGCACCCTCTTGTTCTCACTCCCGAAGGTGAAACTACCACCACCACCACCAACAACAACAATTCTTTAGATGAAAATTTTCGCGAGTTGGAGCTCCCTTTTCTAGATTCTGCTATTCAGTTTAATCCCCACGCCCTTTCTCAACCACCTTCAGTTACTGTTTATTCTTCGAATGCCAAACTGATGTCACACAATATGTTCAACGATGCTGATTCTGTTTCCCAGTTTAGGAGAGGCTTGGAGGAAGCTAGTAGGTTTCTTCCTCCAGGATCTAACCTTGTAACCTTGAAGGGTACGTAAGAAGAATCACGAGCGCCATGAGAGAGATACCATGGAAGAAGAAGAGGAAGAAGGGAGAAGTAACAAGCAATCAGCACTTAGTCTTGCTGATGAGACTGACCTATCAGAGGCTATTGATCGGGTGTTTCTAAGCGACGAAAACGTGTGTATTGAACATTATTTGCAAAGTGGAGGGAAGGGTCGTTCTAAGAAAAAAGGGAGGAAGAAAGAAACAGTGGAGTTGAGGAATCTTCTGTTGATGTGTGCACAATCTATCTATGCCAATGACAACAGAACTACCAATGAATTGTTAAAGCAGATAAGGCAGCACTCTTCTCCCTTTGGCGATGCATCACAGAGGTTGGCTCATTACTTTGCCAATGGCCTCGAGGCACGCTTGGTTGGTGATGGGCTGATGGCACGAGTGCACAAGGAATGTTTTCTGTTTTGAACTCTAAAAGGGTCACTGCTACTGAGCTTTTGAAGTCATACCAGGCTTTTCTTTCCACTTGCCCTCTCAAGAAGTTTAAACATTTCTTTGCAAGTAAAATGATTATGGAAGCAGCTTCCAAGGCAGAAACCGTCCATATTATTGATTTTGGCATCCTATATGGTTTTCATTGGCCAATGCTTATTAAGTTTTTATCAAATAGAGAAGGTGGACCTCCCAAGTTGAGGATCACAGGGATAGAGTTTCCTCTACCTGGCTTTCGTCCCACACAAAAAATTGAGGAAATGGGTCGCCATCTAGCTAACTATTGCAAACGTTACAATGTTCCCTTTGAGTACCATGCCATAGCATCAAAAAACTGGGAAACCATTCAGGTTGAAGCCCTTCAAATTGAGCGCAACGAGCTAGTTGCTGTGAACTCTCTCATGAGGTTTGAGAATTTACTGGATGAGACTTTTCATGAAAACAGTCCTAGAAATGCAGTACTGCATTTGATCACTAATGGATCATATAATGCTCCTTTCTTTACCACACGGTTTAGGGAGGCAGTCTTCTATTTTTCTGCTATTTATGACATGTGTGACGCTGTCATAGCTCGTGAAAATGAATGGAGGATGTTGATTGAGAGAGAGATTGTGGGTCGGGAGGCTATGAATGTTATAGCATGCGAAGGGTGTGAAAGGATTGAGAGGCCCGAGACATACAAACAGTGGCATGTTAGGAACACTAGAGCTGGTTTCAAGCCGCTTCCACTGAATGAGGAATTAATGGAAAAATGTAGGAATCAGTTAAGGGAATATGGTACCACACAGATTTTTTCTTAGATGAAGATAACAGTTGGATGCTTCAAGGTTGGAAAGGTCGTATTCTGTATGCTTCCTCTTGTTGGGTACCTGCATAGTGCATAGTGCATAGTGCATAGTGCATAGTGCATAGTCGCATGCTACTACTGAACTCTACTCCAACAATCCAATCCAATCCACTCTTTATTTTCCCTGTTAAACCTTAAAGCTTCAACTTATGTTATTTACGTCTTTCTTTTTTTCTTTTTCACGCATCTAGATATTACATTCTTAAGTGTTTTTAATTTTTCAAAGGCTGTTCAACGTGAATTTTCCATTTAATTAATAGTCCATTTTAATTTAGTTTCACATTCCTGAAAATTCAAAATCATGTTACTGTCCAATTTAATGCAGAAGTGAGTCTGTAGTTTCCAAATTTTGCGACTACGTGGGTAATCGAAATTGAGGATAGGAAAAATAACATTTGTACACCCAAGAGTGTTATAAATGATTTTTTTCTTAGCACGAACGAGTTTTTACAGTTGATGAAAATCAAATACGATCAAGGACGGAACTCTTGGTTGAGAGGGGGAGAAGAATGAAGAATTTTTATTTGTCCCATCACATATATGATATATCTTTCAGCTCACTCCAACAGAGGCCAATCTTACTTATAGGTAATGTATCTATCGCTGGCCCGACCAATATATGATATAAAAATATATTTATTTATTATACAAAATATAAGAAAATATCATATAAATTAAACATTCTATTTCTAATTAAACTGATAACCCATCCATATCAATAAAAGTAATTTATATAATTATTTTTAATTAATTCTACTATAAATTTAAATTTTATTTTAAATATATTCATTATTATATTTAATGTTAATTATAAGTAAATTTATAGAAAATAAAATTAACAACAAATGAAATATATAAAAGAAAATTAATCTTGTGTAATATACAAAATTAATGATTGTTATTTATAATAAAAATTAAAAAAAATCAAATTTGTTGTATTTAATTAAGACCGGATAATATCTTTTAAAGAATTAAAATTATAATATTAATTATAAGTTTCAATAAAGATTTATAGTAAATTTCATCTCTACATTTATATTATTTTTACACGAAAAAATCTATTAATTATGTTCTAAAAATTTACTAAATTAAAAAGAAAATCATGTTACTCTTTGTGTTATCATTCGCAACAATCCTTGAAGAAGAATATGCTTTTACATTGTTAGAAAAGAAAAAAAATGTTGTAAACAATGGCATTATCTTAGAAATTGATATTTGGTTTGCTAAAATTTCATAATATTGTTTGAATCATACATTTGAAGTGACAAACAATGATATAAAAACAAAGATAAAAAGAGAGAAAAAAATAGTAATAGAAAGAAAGTATATTTGTTAATGTCTAGATACTATCAAATATTTGTTAAGAATAATATAAATATACTATCAAATACATAATATGAAAAATATGATTAAAGATAAAATATGATTCTAAATAAAATAGCTAATCTTGAAATATAAATTTGAAAATTATGACTTTCTTTAAGAAAAATTTTCACAAATTTATCTTGTAGATTACGATACCAATAGAGAAAAGACTATCATATTGATAATGTGTTATGAAAATTAATATAAAGTCATATAAATTATAATATAGAAGTAATAGAGAAAAAGAAGTAAAGGTATAGAAAAAAACATAAAAGAAAGAATATAGAGTTTTTTGTACTATTTTCAATAATGAAATAACTTATTTATAAACATAAATGGTTATCAATAAGTTAATAATATTAAGGTGAAATATGAATGATAATAATGGATAATCACCATTAAATATTCATAACATTAACCACACTTATAGTAATAGTGCTCTCCTATAATATTTTAGAGATATTTTTAGGTTAAAAATATTAAGTGAAATTAAATTAATTAGAATTTACTTATATTTTAAGTAAAAAAAAATTGAACATTTTTTACTTATATATAGGTTCAAAGAGACACAAAGAGTACATAATTAAACAGTCAATAATCAATTATTTTTAGTATTCAAATATCTACTAAATTTTGTTAATGGCTAATTTTGTGTAGTTGATCATCTTTAGTGAAAAATCATCTCCCAATCATATTATTTTCAAATATAAAACTCAAACTTAAAATATTAGTTAAAGAAATCAAATTTAATATCACTAGTACCACCAACATAACATGTAAGTGAATATTGCAGAATATATCATTCATCATTATAGTAAATGAGTTGAAAATTTTTACGGAAGAATGGTTGTTTATATACGTTATTATAGGTAATGTTTCTTAACTATTAGAAAACCTCTTCTCAAAGAAAAATTATTAAAAAAAATCTAAAATCAACACTTATTTTACCAACTATTTTTTAAAATGAAAATACTTTAACCAATGATATTATTTTTTTATAAATAATATAAGAAATATTTTAATTCATTCTTATAAAAAAAAATCAAACAATATTTTAATTTAAATAAACTACACCAAAATTCCTTGAATTTTCGTAAAATTAAACTAACATCCTGGATTTTTTTTTATCAACTACATTAACTTTCTTTATAATGAGTCATTTTAATAATGTCATATTTTTTAAATGATTAAAAAATATATAATATTTAAAGAGTAATAGTGAAATATTTTTTAAACAATTAAACATGTTATTGTAAGTATAAAAAAGCAAGAGATATTGGAGAAAAAAAAACTCAAGTTTTATATCGATTAGAAATTAGACAATTAAATAATATATAAGTGAAAAACACCTTTTATCTTATAAGTCGATTTTGAAAAGTTTAGTTAGACTAAAATCTATTATTCTAAGATGTTACTAGAGTCATCCCAGATCATTAAAAAAGATTACTCATCATTTATCTACGTACCAAACCCAATAGTGCTGAACGTGAGGGAGTGTATTGAAAAAAATAATTACTTAGTATATAAGTGAAAAACACTCATTATCTTATAAGCCGATTTTATAAGGTTCAGTTAAATTAAAATTTACTATTATAAGAATAGATATTTATGTAATCTCAAGAAATTTAGTGTGTTACTTATAATATTAATCTAATACGAGTATTATTTTATAAAGAACGATGACAAATTTATAATTTTCTTTAATAAAATTAACTGTTAATAAAAAAATTGTATTAAAAAAGATTGTTATCAAGTTGTATGGATACTTGGAATAGCCATCCTCATGCTCATAGTAGTCAAAATTGGTGCTGTTAGTGTGACTATTTAAAATGACGCAACGTTTTTGAAGCCACCAATAAATTATGGCGGCTCGATTCCTCTACTTTCCATAACCATATCTTCTATAACTATGTCATGAATTCATGCTTTGTCTTTCTTTCTTCCAACAATAAGACCCTATTTAAGTATTGTTTGGTGAAGACTCATTTGGCAACCATGGAAGACAACGACTTCTCAGAGACCGTCAAGTTCATAAGCCACATCCTCATGGAAGAGAGCGTTGAACAAAGGCCATTCTATGATTCACTTTCCTTGCAACTTACCGAAAAATCCTTCTACCAAGCTCTCACCGGAAACCTACCTCTTGTGCACAGTCCCCAAGCTGAAACCAACTCCACCAACCACAACTTTTCAGATGAAACTTCGCTTTCTCCGCCACCTTCAGTTACTGTTACTCATGGACTCTCAATTTTCGATTCTTCCGTTGCCAAACTATTGTCACACAATACTTTCCATGATGCTGATCCCGTTTCCCAGTTTAGGAGAGGGTTGGAGGAAGCTACCAAGTTTCTTCCTCCAGGGACTAACCTTTTAACTGCTCTAGATTCAAATGGTGAACAACATCAACCAATCAACATGTTTGGACATAATTCCTATGGTTCCAAGAGTAGGAAGAATCACGAGCGCCAAGAGATACAAAACATAGAAGCAGAAGATGATGGTTACGAAGAAGGGAGAAGTAACAAGCAATCAGCACTTAGCCTTGTTGATGAGAGTGACTTGTCAGATGCGTTTGATCGGACGGTGTTGCTAAGTGTGGAAACCTTGTGTAGTGAACAAAGTTGTTTCCAAAATGGAGGGAAGGCTCGTCCTAAGAAACAAGAGAGGAACAAAGAAACAGTTGATATGAGGAATCTTCTGTTCATGTGTTCACAATCTGTGTATGCAAATGACAACATAACTGCCAATAAATTGTTAAAGCAGATAAGGCAGCACTCTTCTCCCATTGGAGACGCATCACAGAGGATGGCTCATTACTTTGCCAATGGCCTTGAGGCACGCATGGTTGGTGATGGCAACACTGCACAAGGAATGTTTTCTATTCTCAACTCTAAGAAGAACACTGCTGCTGAGTTTCTCAAGGCACACCAGGTTTTTCTATCTGCCACCCCTTTCAAGAAGTTTACATATTTATTTGCAAATACAATGATTATGAAAGCAGCTGCCAAGGCAGAAACTGTTCATATTATTGATTTTGGCATCCTATATGGTTTTCAATGGCCAATGCTTATTAAGTTTTTATCAAATAGAGAAGGTGGACCTCCCAAGATGAGGATCACAGGGATAGAGTTTCCCCAACCTGGCTTTCGTCCCACACAAAAAAATGAGGAGACAGGTAGCCGTCTAGCTAACTATTGTAAGCGTTACAATGTTCCCTTTGAGTACCATGCCATAGCATCAAAGAATTGGGAAACCATTCAAGTTGAAGCCCTTCAAATTGAGAGCAGCGAGCTAGTTGTTGTGAACTCTCTTATGAGGTTTGAGAATTTACTCGATGAGACTGTTGAAGTGAACAGTCCTAGAAATGCAGTCCTGCATTTGATTAGGAAGATAAATCCGGATATTTTCACTCAGACCATTGTTAATGGATCATATAATGCTCCTTTCTTTACCACACGGTTTAGGGAGGCCCTCTTCCATTTTTCTACTATTTATGACCTGTGTGACACTGTCATACCTCGTGAAAACGAATGGAGGATGCTGATTGAGAGAGAGATTGTGGGTCGGGAGGCTATGAATGTTATAGCATGTGAAGGTTCTGAGAGGGTTCAGAGGCCTGAGACATACAAACAGTGGAAGATTAGGAATACGAGGGTTGGTTTCAAGCAGCTCCCACTGAATGAGGAATTAGTGACCAAATTTAGGACTCTGTTAAGGGAATGGTACCACAGAGATTTTGTCTTGGATGAAGATGACAACTAGATGCTTCAAGGTTGGAAGGGTCGCATTTTGTATGCTTCCACTTGTTGGGTGCCGGCATAGTGAGATTCTCTTGGACTCGGTTCAGGACTCATACTAGACTAAAGGTACGATTCTAAGAATATGTTCAGAAGAGTTATCATTTGCTTGTTGCTTGAGTCTTGAGAGTTGAGATATTTGAGCATGTTTGTTGCAAATTTGAAGCTTATTTTGCTCATTAAATGGTTTCAGGTTCTGGTGGTATCCTGATCAGGCGACCTACTTGCTTAACCTTCAGTTACTGTGATGAAGATTGTACCGAGCTTTGCACCAAGTTGATAAAATTTTGGCACCACTTTTCTGGTAGAATTGAGACTTGTTAATGTAATCAAAGTTCTATAATGATTAGAAGGGAGTACTAGAGTAGGAGGGCTCTTATCGCATGTTTACCCCAGTACTTTGAATCTAAATGTTGATTTATTTTCTCTCTAACTAACATGATTTAGGCATTTCAAATCCTTCTAAATATATTTGTAAAATGTTTTTGCAGGATATGTTGTATCTTGCACCAAATTAGCTACTAAATTGACAAGGATGTGATTAATTTAAAACAGATGACTATTTTCAGATTGCTTTTTCCTGCGATATTCTTTAATAGGATATGCTGATAAATGTTCTATCTGTTTGAACTAGTTTCTCCTAGCCTTCTGTTCATGACTTAAACACCAAAAATTAAGTTTGAAAACAATGCTTAACAAGATATGACTTTTTTGGATCTTATAAATTGCATGCTGTTTGGTTGCACAAATTAAGTCAATGAAAAATTTTCATATAGAAAAAATCAATGAAATCTTCAAAACTACTTGGAATGTTAGGCGAAAACTTCCGTTCCACTTCCAAAAAGGTAGAAGCTGCTTATAAGTTATTGAAGACTAACGAGTTTCTTTTCATTACATTATATATGATCATCATAACAAAGGAAAGGTGGGGATAGGAATCCACAACATACTTCATTTGCTAAAAGTGAAGAAATTAATGAATGGTTTGTGAACATTGTTCCAATCAATCTCCATGTGATATGTCATTAACTCTTTATAATAAAAAAAAATGTGAATACAAGTCGTGAAAATTGAACATGATGACTTGATTCTAGACCATACATTAATTTTTGAGGATTTGACACCTCAGAACTACATGAACAAGGTGGACACAAGGATGATTCATATATAGAGCCTAAATTACCCCTCCATCATTAACTTCTATCAGATTTGTTACTTTTTTCCACCTGCATTGTATTCGTTTGTGAATTTTTTCCAGCCTTGGGTCCCTTACTTTGACCACAGTGAGTCCCATTAATTGGTTATGATCACTAACTGATTTGATATGATCATTTTCATTGCATTTTGTTTGCGATCATAATTCGTGAGACTAATCTAATTCGATAGGCACTCTTCATTTTATGAGGTAATTTTTCATTGGAGTGACACACTTTTAAGAAAGTGGATTAAAAACATAATTCAATCATACAAAATTAACTTTATAATTTTATTATTTTTAATCGACACGAGATTTCTTACACATTCATCTCACGTTGAGGATTAGATATCTCTAACGTGAAATTTACAAGATTGAACATTTGTGGTATTTCGATAACAACTCTCGATAGTCAATGACTTAATAAATTCATCAATAAACTCTGACATTATTTTAAGAAAATCAGTTAAAAGTTTAACTCAATTATAAAATCCATTTATAATGTGAGAAACGATTACTCTTTGCTTATACACGTTATTATGATTTTGTCTCTAATTCATACGAGATTTTCAACATAAACAATAAACCATGAACCGGACAAGTTTGTCTTTCTTGATTTGTAAAGTTCAATTGGTAGGTTGGGAATACAAACCTATGCCGCAACCTTCAAGACACCGAGATCTCGGATTAGAAAAAAGGGGTCTCTACCATTGAACAATCTAAGTAATGGTCAACAATCATATATACACTAAAGTGCAAACTTGTACTTCTCTTACATAGTTAATTTAACTTAAAAATAATCCACGTATCACTTAGTCAAAATATACGAAACAGTATTTAGATGATTAAAAAAATAAAATAAAAACTACGCTCAATTGAGTTTTTGGTGCATGTAATATGACACAAGTATTTTCATTCTGTGAAATTTTAAGAGAAATATTAATATTACATTTTAAAATTTAGTAAAAGTGATATAAAAAATTTAGTCTCATTTTTTAGTTAATATTTTTTATATAATAATCTTGTAAATTTTATTATATTTTAACTAATAAAAAAATATGTTAGCAGAAATGAATTATGTTACTGTTATATTATTAAAATTTAGTTGACGTAAATTGTATTTTGTCAGGTGATAATAAATTAAGAGTCTGTTATAAATTAAAAGTGATTTTGAGAACCTTTTTATTTAAAATAAAAAATATATATATATTTTTTTTAATAATTTTTTTCAAAAATACTTCTAAATTTATATTTATATATATTATAAAATTACTAGTACCGCATGCAGCATGAAAGAAAGAAAAAAGACCATCATATCCCATATGAGATTACAACGTCACAAAATGATTCATTATGATAATAATTAGACAAAATGTTAACTATTGAACCAAATCTATTCTTTAAATGAACTAATTAACATGTTATTTGATATTATTGTCACATTACAAAGTGTCATTTACATAATCTTCAGATAGTAAAAGTTAGACTAATCAATAAGGGGTGGACTAAATTTCAATAATTTGATAACTATATGTGGAAGCTGATTTATTGTATTTTAGGAAACAAAATCACCCATCTATATATTAAAGGACTAAAAATACAATTGTATTGAAAATCTACAGGATTGGTAAATCTTTCGTTCAATCAAGGACATATTGACTTTTACATTGATTATAGAAATAAAATACAATTATAGATCAAATTATTCTTTGGTAACATGTCTCCTAGTGGTTAATTTTATTATATATATATATATATATATATAATTAATAATGTTCTTTCGGAGTTTAATAATTTGTAATTAAAACCATAATATATCTGCATTATATTTTAGGGTACACGTGGAATCGGATTATAATTAGTCAATTCAATGTTTAACCCAAGCCACTTAAAATGAAGGCCAAATTCATTCACATTTGAAAAGAACGAGGATCGGTGCATGATAAGAATATTTTTAGAGACTAATCAAATTTTGAAATATTTACTGGAATTAAAAATATGTTTATTAGACAATAATTAAGATACATAATGTTACGTTAAATATATTTTTAGTCAACTTAAATAGAAATTAATAGATATCGTAGTGACCAAAATCACTCACTTATTTTAAGAATTAAAATTACACTCTATAATATCCAATTCATAATTTTAATTTCATAATTTTAGTCTTTAAATTTTATAAAATTTATAATTTTGATCTTTTTGTTAAATATTCATTCGTTAATCATTAAAATTATATCATTTAATATAATCTGATATTAAATAGATAAAATGATAATTAATATTTAGTCATATTTAATTCAAATTGTATATTTAGTTTATATTTTTTATCTTATTTTATGACTTTTATGAGATAAAAAAAATAAACAAAAAGTAAATTTTTGTTCAAAATTATTAAATAGACTTAAATATGTTTTTAGTTTTTACAAAATGAGAAAATTTTAATTTTGGTCCTTGTAATTTTTTTTATCATCCTCTAAAATTTAGAATTATTATTTTTAATCTCCATTATCATGTAATCATTATTAATTACTTGTTTGTTCATTAAAATTAAGGTTAAGTAATTATCTCAAGTGCTACTCATAACTGTTAATGACAAGTATGACATCTTTAAAAAGTTTCATAAGTCCTTAAAATAATTGTTATTTTTGTATCTTAAAATCATCAATAGGAAGTAAAAATAATAATTTTAGATTTTAAAAAAATAATAATAATAAATATTTTTTTCAGGAACCAAAACCAAAATTTATAAAGATTAAAAATATTTTATAAGGAACAAAAACAAAATTTAAAAGGATGAAAAACAAAACAAAGAAATTTTCTACACAAAGACTTAAATCAAAATCTAATCATTTTACAAATTACAAATATATTTAAATCTATTGAATACTAATTGTTAGGTCATTTATTTAATAATATATCATGACCAACATTACAACTTTAACGATCACAAATAATATTCATCAAGATAAGCAAAATTATAAATTTTATAAAATTAGAGGACTAAAATTGTGAATTTAAGATTTGGAGATCAAAATCACAAACTAAACATTAAAGGAGGACTAAAAGTTCAATTTACCCCTTTTTAAAAGAATACAAACTTAATTAAAGTAAAAAACAATCAAAAACATTTTATATAAAAAATTGTTTAAATTATACAAATTTATACTAATATATAAAAAAGATAGCTTTTCTTTCCCCTTTTCGTCTTAAAAATTTGTGGATCATTATATTCTTAATTAATAAAAAGAATAAAATTAATTATTTTAGTAATTATTATTAATGAACTATAAATAAATGTCCACACTGTTATATATTTTTATTCTTGAAAATATTCCGTTCGTGGCTCTTTCTCCCTGGTAATAATAATGAGTTTTTTTTTTTTTGATAGTGCACTAGAGAAATTAGTTAAAGAATTAATAAATGAAAAAACATGAAAAGATGCATTGACAAGTGTGTATGGATGGACACATTTGAATCCCTCTCTCTTCAACGTGAAGGGTCTCTTTCTTCCTTCCTTCAACTTCCAACCCATGAATCACGATGTCATGACTCATGACATGCAGGATGGTGTTGACAGATACAGTTATCAAATATACAATTACTATGTGGTTTGGGAAAACTCTTAATAAAGGTTTGGATTAGTTGATGGATTGAACAAGAGTGGGGAACAAATTCCAAATGCATTCACAAACAATCAAGATAACACATTATTTTCTTTATCATCAAATTTCCACGTACCATCCTGTTCCGACGGCTATACGCTCAAATAAACCTCATTTACTGTACTTTATTTCTACGTCATTTTAGCTTCTCTTTCTCTAACACACATCAAAAGTAATAACTGATATGGCAGAGTTTATCATAACAATATTTTCAGAATTAACTTACATCAAATATTACGGATGTCAAGATCAAAATCCTTAAGAGCAACTCCCCAAATAGATTGTGTCGGATTTGTAAAGAATTTACAAACTTTTTATTTTCAAATGTGAATTAATGCTGCCATACTGGAGGAACTGTCCTCATATATTAATTAGTTTATCCTTTTTAACTAGAACTAGAATGTGGATTTTTTTTTCTGCTTCTTTAATTAGTTCGACAGAATCAAATCTGCCATCTGATTCATTTCTTGTTTACTTCACCATTTTTTTTAATTTAATTGACCATTGAATTGTGTTTTTAAAGACAAGACAACCTCACTCACAAAAAGAACCATAACTTGGAGAATAAACAAAAGAAAAAGTCACTGCATAAACTTGGATTAGGGGAATGTATCTGGATGAATCCAATAATAATACCAAGCACAATTTAAAACTTAAAGAATGTTGTCGAAGTTTCAAGTGGGAAAATTTTCTAATGCGAAGCCATATATTCAATAACTTGTATCTAAAAATTATTTCAGAAAAAGGTAAAAGATCCTTTTGAATTATCCTATATTATTTTTGGTTGAGATTTGAGATGTTGATGCCAAGTCAACTATGGCAATGAACCATGGGACAGGAATATCTGATCACTTATTACAATAAAAAGCATTCACATTGGAAAGAGGTATTTAATAAAACACTTTAGTCAATAACTTGGTGGTCAAGGATATCCTTTCAACATGTGTGCGCTTTTGACTACCGAGCCTTCGTTGACTATTTCTTGGATTTGGGACCATTAACTACCCCATGGACCATGGCTATGCACGAGTTACACCCACTTTCTTTTAATTGCAATGCCACAATAAAATTACGATCCATATTCTTCTACGTTGTATTCAATCTTCCACCATTGTTTTATACATCTTTTCTTTTATGTTATTAAATCATTAAGATAAAATAACAAATTTTATCTACTAACTTAATAAATCAAATACTTCGTACGTAGATCAATTGATAAAAAATTATTTTAATTTAAGTATTAATTCTACTTTAAATGTTGAATATGTAGTTATATTTAAAATTAAAAAGAGATTACCAATCATAATAATTCTACCCACCTCGTACACCATATATGTATGTGGTTGAAAAATAAAAATAATATATATATATTACTTGTACACTTATCACTTTCTATTGATTAATTTTTTCTGCTACTTTAAATGACACTAATATAATTTATAATTCATCATCAATAATTTATATTTTATATTAAATTTTAATAATTTAATTATTAAACTAAAAAATTTTAATTAATATATTAAGTCTACAACTTTAATAAAATTTGAAAGTTATTTGATATTTTATTATATAAATTTAAATTAATTTATAATATAATTTTATAAATAATTATTAATTTAAAATTTATATAATGAAGTATCAAATAATTTTAAATTTTGTAAAATTTTGTTTGTACACTTGATCTACTCTTTAATAATTTAAATTCAATAGTTTAATTATTAAAATTTAATATAAGTTTTTAGTTATTAAGTAAAGTAATTTTACTGAAAATTATTCTTAAAGTAAATAGATATTATAATATTGTATGTTTTAGGTTTTTTATTTAATTATATGTGATATATGATTAAATTATTGAACTATTGTTATAATCTTTGTTTTAGAATTCTAGGGCTCAAGGGGTCCCAAAGAATTAAATTTTCTTTGAGGTAATCTTAGGGGGGTGTATTGGTTTAAGATTTCGTAGGATTTTAAAAGACTTTTTTTGAGTAAAAAAGTCCATTGGTATTCAATCAGGATTTTATGTCACTTAAAAATAATCCAGTGGTATTCAATCTGGATTTTCAAGATTTTTTAAAGAGTCCATTAAAATCCACTGGTATTCATTTGAGATTTTTTACAACTTAAAAACAATCCATTGGTATTCAAAAATATAAGGATTTTAAAGGATTGTTGTGTGAGAGGGATTTTAACCTGTCTGATGAAACTGTGACAGCAAACTGTCCAAGAGATGCTTTACTAAGGTTGATCAGGCGGATCAATCCAAACATCTTCATGCATGGGGTTGTCAATGGCACATACAATGCACCATTTTTCCTGACAAGGTTCAGGGAAGCACTCTTCCACTTCTCAGCATTGTTTGATATGTTTGAAGCTAATGTGCCACGTGAAGATCCATCAAGACTTATGTTTGAAAAAGGGTTGTTTGGAAGGGATGCGATCAATGTGATAGCATGTGAGGGAGCAGAGAGGTTTGAAAGGCCAGAGACCTACAAGCAGTGGCAGGTTAGGAACCAGAGAGCAGGGTTCAAGCAACTTCCATTGGCACCAGATCTTGTGAATAGAGTGAAGGAAATGGTGAAGAAGGAATATCATAAAGATTTTGTAGTTGATGAAGATGGCAAGTGGGTTTTGCAGGGATGGAAAGGACGTATTCTTTTTGCTACTACTTCTTGGGTTCCAGCTTGAGCAATGACTGACTCCTAAGTCCTAACCTACTCATTGCCTAGGAAAATTGTTTTAGGTGTAAGGTGCAAGATTAAGGGTGTATTTATTCTTGAATACAAATGAATCATGTTCATATTTTATTTCAATTTGAATAATGTGTAAATACACTCCTCATCTGTGCACTTGTGAACTAGGTCAGAAGACACAATCTCCTCTGCAATCTCCTATTGGAGAAGAATATATAATAGTATTTACATCAATGTGCTAATTGCTCTGCAATCTGCAGTGAGATGCTTTGAGCATCCTAGGAATGTAGGATGAGTTTGGCACTTATTAAATATCTTCATTATTGCCCACTGCTGTTATCTATTTAATCTTGTTTATGTAAATTCTCTAACAATTTGTTGCGTTTCAAAACGGCTTTACTACTACTAGAATTTGGAGCGAATCATCAAATTTCTTTCTGGGAATTTTGACCTCGGATATATTAATTTTTAAAATTGTGAAAATATCACTCTAGTCATATATTAGTTTAATAGTTACAAAAGTTGTAATATTAATTACTTTATAAACTATTATAGATTAATATGATGGAAATCTATAAATTTTACGGATTAATGCAATAATAATTATATTATTAAAAGGGATTAGATGAATTTTTTCATATTAAAAATGACAGCAAAATTATAAGAGAAATTATGAAAATGTGCATTAATAATGTTTTCCTTAATTAGTACCCCGAAAGTACTCGTTACTTGTTATTCAATAATTTCAATATTGACTAAAAATTAAAATTTAGCGACCGACAAAATCTCTTTCTATCCCTTAACTTTGTTTTGTAGCATGACGCATGACTTCAGTTTGACTCCCCCCACAAATGCAATATATGTGCACATGATAATCAATTATCATAGACTTATGGTTATTGGAAGTCCTTTAAAATCCTAATCCAATACACCCCCCTTAGACTAAGTTAAGTTTGTTTAACTTAAGAAATGACATATATGTTCATATTTTAAGAAAAATTAAAAAAGAAGTTCTCTAAAGCCTGAAGTAATTTCTCTCCCTCTTTTTCTATTGAAATCTTTCCCTCAACTTTCTCTACAACTGATCTAAGGTGACTATTTGGAGATTCAAGCTCCTCAGAGTAGGAATCCCAGAGTTGAAGTTGTGTAGAAGTCTTCTCCTTCTTCCTCATCTCTTCTCAATTCAATTGATTAACTAGAGATTAGGGGAGTTTGTGCGATGAATTGTTGTGAATGAATGCTTGTTGTTATACTTCTTGAATTCTTCATTGTATGATTGAATTAATAAAAATTAAGAAATTGAAAATGTTTTTAAAAGTGTTCTTGAATGATGTTCTTAAATGACTTGGATGATTCTAAATTTTGATGGTTGCATGTGTTGTTTTGAGTTAATTTGGTATTATTTTATTGCGCATATATGTTGTATGTTAGTTTGCATGCTATTTGGACTGGCTGGATTTGCAGGTTTAGACCATTTGATGATTTTGCTATAAAGAGATTTATGTAATCTTATAAAAAAAATTGAGTTTTTAGTCATATATGTAGGAACTAATTTATATTTTCTATTTGTGTTGAATTGTATGTATGACCAAAAATTATTGTTGACATGCCCCTCTCCCATCTCTCACGCACTCACATACATGTACACACAAAATATATCTAGATCAAATTGAACAATACATTAATTTTAATTTTTTGCTTCTCGAAAACTGAACTAAATGGTCGATAAAACACCTATATTTAAATTTTTATGTTTATCAGTATTTTAACTTTTAACTTGTTAAATGTACAAAATAAATATTATGTTTATTTATTTCTTAATGAAATAAAACAAAATTAGGCATAGAATTTAAAGATAACCTATTACACGATACTCATGCAAGAAAACTCAGTGAGGAGAAATGCTATGATCAGTTTGGACACGGGATTTTGGATAAACGAAAGATTGGTGGATAGAAAATCCAACTTTCTTCCAACCTTTGGTTGCAATAAAAAAAGAAGAAGGAAGAATCATAAAATATATGAGGTCCACAATTTTCATAATGTCTCCAAAAGTGGATGGATAGATTTATAGAGGAAAAAATAGTACTGAGAGATAAAAATATTCAAAATGCTCTTACTTTATAAATATTTTTTATTATGAATATTTATGTCATTATTTATTTATAATATGCATAGATATTAAATTTTGTAAACAAGCAAGGAGAAGAAAAAAAAAAACTTAAATTTTCTTTTTCATTTCACTCATATTTCTACTAAATCACTTAAAAAAAACAATCCAATTTTCTATTTTCTTTCCTTTCATTTATTTATGCTGCTTCTTTCTTCCATAAACAAAACAAACCGTAATGATAAAAACAAACTACAGCGGTAGGAAAAGTAATTTGTACAGTGTGAACAAAGAATTTTTTTTATTAATTATTATTCTCATGACGTGCTTATCCACTTTCATCCGGACATAATTTTTGTTTACATTCTTTTTATTTAATTTTATCATATTGAAGAATTTAGTAAAGTAATTTTTTGTTAAATCCATAATAATTACAAGAAAGTAGTGAAATATGGCGGCTGTGACATAATGTGATTGCTCGTGAGTGTTTGGCCTTTAACATAACATGTACCTTCCTAGAAACTTCAGCATGACAAAAAAAATAAAATTAAAAAAAGGTTTGTTTCATAAATTACATTATTATAACAAAGGGATAATCCTCATTCACCAAGTTTCTGCCGGTTACTACTCACTCTTTAGTTGCATTCTCAAACTCTCCCAGGTAACTGCCACAAAACTCATTCATTGCCCTGTCTTTGTTTTTCTCTCTCATTCACCATTCATTCTTGTTCCCTTGTTCTTACAAACTTCAATGAGTGAATGTTATCCAAAAATTCTAGCACTAGGACTAGGGGTCAACCTTGTTTAGATTTCTGAAATTTCCTCTTTGTGCTTGTCACTTTGTTCAACATATCATTACTTCAATTACTTGATCTGTTCCTGTTATGTCTTTTGAGTTGTAAAAGGTTCAGCCGAGTCAAAGATTTTTGTCTGCAATAGCTTTAGTTAGTAATAGCAAAGCACCTCACAAACTAGATCTCTGTAGAAAGTACAATTTTACTGTGTTACAAGCAACATGATTTCCACGGATTCCCTTTTGGAAAATTTTCCTGGTTCCGTGAATGGATTTCTATTTGAAAATGGTCCTGTTTCGGTATTCTCGAATCAGAATCCTGAAAGTGGGTTCAAGTTCGATGATTCATGTTCCCCTTCAGAATCTGCCACTGATTCTGGTCCTGCTTCTGGGACAAGCTCAAATGGAGAACATGCTGAGAGTACTAAACATTCCAATCCAATTCTCAGATACATAAGCGATATCCTCATGGAGGAAGAGGATGATTTAGAGCGCAAACCTTGCATGTTGCAAGATTGTTTGAGGCTCCAGGCTGCTGAAAAATCCTTCTATGATGCACTGGTTCAAAGCCACCCTTCATCACCCCATGAATTCCGTGATGATAACCCTGACCCAGATGATAATTTTGCTGGAAGTGGAACCACTAGTTCTGAGAGTTATAGCAGTTATACCACTGATAATTCATGTGACTCTGATTGGTTTAATGGTTCTGGTGACTTTGAGGCTTCTTTCCTACAAAGATCTCTGATTGATCCGTTTAGAGAGACACAAGCAGTGGTCCATTTATCAAATGGAGCCTGGAATACGATCCAATCTCGGAACATGCCTCGCGTGTTTGAAGAGGGTGTGATGCATGGTTCTATGACAGCTAGAGGATCAAGGGAGAAGAGAAGCCATCTGATGAATGATATCTCACATGAAGAAGAAGAGAGAAGCACCAAGCTTTCAGCTGTCTCCTCTGATGATTCAGAGCCATCTAGCCTGTTTGATGAGGTGCTGCTTTGCAAGGATGGCAAGAGTCCGGCCATTTTTTATGCTGACCGTGAACCATCGTCAGCACAGATTGCTGACTCGGGTGCGAAGACAACGCGTTCGAAGAAAGGTTCCAACAAGGGGACAAGAGCAAGTACAACAGTGGACTTGTGGACTTTGCTAACTCAATGTGCACAGGCTGTGGCTAGCTATGACCAAAGGACTGCAAATGAAATTCTCAAGCAGATTAGGCAGAACTCTTCACCATTTGGCGATGGACTTCAGCGGTTGGCTCATTACTTTGCTGACGGCCTTGAGACACGGTTAGCTGCTGGGACACCAAAATTCATTCTCTTTCAGTCAGCATCTGCTGCTGATATGTTGAAAGCTTACAGAGTGTATATCACAGCATCGCCATTTCATAGGATGTCGAATTTCCTGGCTAACCGCACTATTTTGAAGCTAGCACAAAATGAAAGCAGTCTTCACATTATTGACTTTGGAATTAGCTATGGCTTCCAGTGGCCTTGCCTCATCCATCGGCTTTCGGAGAGGGAAGGTGGGCCGCCAAAGCTTCGAATAACAGGAATTGATCTTCCTCAGCCGGGATTTAGGCCGGCAGAGAGGGTTGAGGAGACGGGGCGGCGCCTGGAGAAGTACTGCCAGAGGTTTGGAGTGCCATTTGAGTACAATTGCCTTGCACAGAAATGGGAAACCATAAGACTTGAGGACCTCAAAATTGATAGGAGTGAAGTGACTGTGGTAAACTGTTTGTACAGATTGAAGAACCTGTCTGATGAAACTGTGACAGCAAACTGTCCAAGAGATGCTTTACTAAGGTTGATCAGGCGGATCAATCCAAACATCTTCATGCATGGGGTTGTCAATGGCACATACAATGCACCATTTTTCCTGACAAGGTTCAGGGAAGCACTCTTCCACTTCTCAGCATTGTTTGATATGTTTGAAGCTAATGTGCCACGTGAAGATCCATCAAGACTTATGTTTGAAAAAGGGTTGTTTGGAAGGGATGCGATCAATGTGATAGCATGTGAGGGAGCAGAGAGGTTTGAAAGGCCAGAGACCTACAAGCAGTGGCAGGTTAGGAACCAGAGAGCAGGGTTCAAGCAACTTCCATTGGCACCAGATCTTGTGAATAGAGTGAAGGAAATGGTGAAGAAGGAATATCATAAAGATTTTGTAGTTGATGAAGATGGCAAGTGGGTTTTGCAGGGATGGAAAGGACGTATTCTTTTTGCTACTACTTCTTGGGTTCCAGCTTGAGCAATGACTGACTCCTAAGTCCTAACCTACTCATTGCCTAGGAAAATTGTTTTAGGTGTAAGGTGCAAGATTAAGGGTGTATTTATTCTTGAATACAAATGAATCATGTTCATATTTTATTTCAATTTGAATAATGTGTAAATACACTCCTCATCTGTGCACTTGTGAACTAGGTCAGAAGACACAATCTCCTCTGCAATCTCCTATTGGAGAAGAATATATAATAGTATTTACATCAATGTGCTAATTGCTCTGCAATCTGCAGTGAGATGCTTTGAGCATCCTAGGAATGTAGGATGAGTTTGGCACTTATTAAATATCTTCATTATTGCCCACTGCTGTTATCTATTTAATCTTGTTTATGTAAATTCTCTAACAATTTGTTGCGTTTCAAAACGGCTTTACTACTACTAGAATTTGGAGCGAATCATCAAATTTCTTTCTGGGAATTTTGACCTCGGATATATTAATTTTTAAAATTGTGAAAATATCACTCTAGTCATATATTAGTTTAATAGTTACAAAAGTTGTAATATTAATTACTTTATAAACTATTATAGATTAATATGATGGAAATCTATAAATTTTACGGATTAATGCAATAATAATTATATTATTAAAAGGGATTAGATGAATTTTTTCATATTAAAAATGACAGCAAAATTATAAGAGAAATTATGAAAATGTGCATTAATAATGTTTTCCTTAATTAGTACCCCGAAAGTACTCGTTACTTGTTATTCAATAATTTCAATATTGACTAAAAATTAAAATTTAGCGACCGACAAAATCTCTTTCTATCCCTTAACTTTGTTTTGTAGCATGACGCATGACTTCAGTTTGACTCCCCCCACAAATGCAATATATGTGCACATGATAATCAATTATCATAGACTTATGGTTATTGGTTTTCTAATTCATTTAAGAAAAACGTTGTTTTTTTTCTTTTCTTCACAATCTTTATTTTTTTTATATTATATATTTATATTACTTATTTAATTTTGCATTCTCTATCTTTTCTTTCTATTTCTTTTTTTTATTATTGTAAATATTGGAATAAATTAAATTTTCTTTGTGTTAATCATTAGTTAGATATGATTATCTATCTAGACACAGCTCTTCCGGTTGTGTGTGGAGATAAGAGAATTTCAGACGTGAAATCTACATCCGAAAACTGACAATGGCATGCCTAATGCCTATCGCCTTCTAAGTTCTAACAATTTCAATAAAATACGTCATTTAATTCTATCATGCTTCCACCCAAAAGTATAGAAATCTAGAAGATTCTATAATTGAGGAAAAAAGACTATTTTTCTCTGCGGTTTTTTATCTGTAACATTTGTGGTCTTTTATTTATTCATTGATTGTGAAGTGGACGAACTCTTGCATTTGTTACTTTACATTTTCTTCATTGTCCTTTCTCAAATTGATGGTCCTCACTCCTCAATAGTGAATATTATTGGAGAGAAAAAATAAAATAAATTAATAAGTCTCTTACCATTATCAGCCAGCAGATGCGAACAAAAAAAAACATTTAAATATAAAATAATTCTCACTTTATAAATTAATTTATAATATTAAATATTTATATTTTAAAACAATACTAAAACTTATTTTAATTATTATTATTGAGTTTATCATATCAATTACTATTATATTATTTTTAAATCATTTGTAATTTTTTTTTTAATTCTGCAAATTTTATATTCGATATGAATATTTTTCAAAGTGAGAAGAATGTTTTGGAAATCCTATTTTAAAATAAAGTATATAAATAAAAACAATTCTCATTGTCTAATGTATAAAACTTGTAGTAATTCATGCATATGCATAATTATTAATTTTATTTTACTTATCATATTACATGTAATAAGAAATTGTGTTAGTGAAGCATGTGACAGGAACAATATTTTACTTACCATATTATATATAATAAGAAATGAGTTAATCACTTATATACTGTTAGTATAAAGTTTTTTTATATTGACAATCAATTATATCTCTTAATTGTGTCATGTCACTGTTAAAAGTAAATATGTTTATAGTGATATGACACAATTAAGAGATATAATTGGTTGTCAGTATAAAAATCCTTACACTGATAATATATAGGTGATTAACTCATAAGAAATTGTGTTAAAGAAGCAATGACAATAACAACTAAAGTATATAATCTTTTTTTTCTTTTACAATTATAAAATATTTAGTTTATATATATAAAACAAACAAACACGACTTTAATTGCAATAACAATTTTGTATGTAGACATATAAGAATTTAGTATAATTCTTTATATATTTATTTATTATAGTTAATTACCGACTTAGAACTAATGTATGTAATAAAACTGAAATTGCTATTTAATTTAATAAGACCCTACTTATATTTGATAGAGTCAACATAAGTATTCCATCTAAAGTTTTTGAAGTTAGAAAATTACATTTTAAAAAATAAAATGTGATAATAATTATTAATTAAAAAATTAGTAGTTGATATTATAATTAATTTTATATTTTATTTTATAAAAATTTAATTTTATTACAAATATTAATTATTAATTTATAATCAATAATTGGAAGTACATTTTATCCTGTAAATTGCAGTATTTCACTTTAGGATAGTTAAATTCTTAAAAAAAATATTTATTTAACATGATTTTTAATTATATGAAAATAACATTTTTATTTTGCAACGTACATATAAAAATAATAGTCAAGCTTAATTTTGAATTCTTAATCATTGTTTTTTTTTTTTTTT